AACAACAATCAAAGAATTATTTATGCAGGTAAATTTTAAAATTAATATTTTATCTAAAATGCAAACAAATTGACCACTCACAGAGCAAGATGGCAAGTAGGCAGATACAATGAGCTAACGCTTTGGAACAAAGTCATGGGAGACCCAGTGAAATAGAAGCTGAAAGAACTGCAAACAGGATAGACCAAGGTATAATCAAAGTATCAAGATACAATCAAACTCTTCAAAATCAAAGACAAGGAAAGAATCCTGAGAGCAGCTCAGGAAAAATTAAAAGTCATGATTTCTCCGCAGAAACACGCAGGCAAGAAAACAATTGAATGATATACATAAAACTCTGAAAAGAAAAGAAACTGCCAACCAATAGTTGCATATTTAGCAAAATTGTCCATCAAATGTGACAGTGAAATGAATTCATTTTCAGATAATAGAAATTAGAATAATTTGTAACAACCAGACAAACCTTATTAAAAAAAACAACACTAAAGGTAGTTCTTTTTACAGAGATCCAATAACAGCTGAAAACAATTTGAGACCAACATACTTAACAATAATATTACCTAGACTCATCCCAGATATGCAAATATTCCCTCCACCACTCATCTGTCAGTTTGTCTTACTTTGGTGACTTGGGTGTTACTGTGTTTCTGGAAGCTATGCTATTTGTATTGCAAATACCAACAGGGTCACCCTTGGTGGATAGGTTTCAGCAGAGCTTCTAGATCTAGACAAACTAGAAAGGAGGATCTGGTAATCCACTTCTGAAAAAACTTGCCACTGAGAACCTTATAAATAGCCATAGAACACTGTCTGATATGGTGCCAGATGATGAGCCCCTAAGGCTGGAGGTCACTCAAAATACAACTGCAGAAGAACTGCCTCTTCAAATAAAGTAGACCTTAATGGCATGAATGGAGCAAAGCTTTCAGGACCTTCATTTACTCATTTACTGATGCGGCATGACTGAAAATGAGAAGAAACCACTGCAAACATCCATTAATAGTCAGAATGTGGGTTGTACAAACTATAAACCTAGGAAAATTGGAAGCAGTCAAAAGTGAAATGGAGCATGAAAAGATTGATATCTAACCATTAGTGAGCTGAACTGGACTGATATTGGATATTTTGCATTAGATAATCATACCATCTACTATGTTGGGAATGACAAATTGTAGAGAAATAGCATTGCATTGATCATTTTAGAAAAATTTCAAGGTTTATCCTGAAGTACAATGCTGTGAGGATACAATATGTATAAAAGGAAGACCAGTTACCATGACCGTTATTAAAATTTACATACCAATCACTAATGCCAAAGATGAGGAAATTGAGGATATTTACCAACTTTTGCAGTTTGAAATGAATTAAACATACAATGAAGGTGCATTGATAATTACTGGTGATTGGCATATGAAAAGTAGGAAATCAAAGATGGATCAGCAGTTGAAAAAATGCCTTGGTAACAGAACTGACACCTGAGGTCGCATGATTCAACTTTGCAAAACCAACAACTTATTCATTTCAATAGCAGCATAAATGGTGACTGTACACATGCAACTTGTTGGATGGAATAAATAGGAA